ACACACAGATATTAAATATTTAAAATAAAAAAATATAAAAATTAACTTTATTTTATCTCGTTCAAATTAATGCCATTATTTTATTTTATTTTTATCAATTTAATGAAAATAAGATAAAACTAACTTTAACTCTACTAAACAATATCATTACTAATGAACATAATTTACATAAGTAGTAGCAACTTGTCTTAACCAACTTGTTTAAGATTTATTCTTATTAATGTTATTTTGGATATGAAAAAAATAAAATAATAATAATAATAGTAATATTAAGAAAACTGATATAGTAATTAATCATTGGTCAATCTGTTAAGGTCACTTGATCTACTCACTTGCCCGGGTTTTTAAAAAATATTGTTTAAAATTTTTTTGTTTTCTGTAAAATTTTTAAAATATAATTTTAATTTTAAAAAAAATATCATTTCGATTTAATGGATGGATTTGAAAATATAAGTTATTAAATTTCAGTTAATTAAGTTAAACTTACCAATTCTTTTATCCTATCAATTATAATTCAAAATATTTAGTAATACCCATATTATATGAAGATTTTTTCACAATAGAAATTGCTTAAAGCAAAACTGTATTACTCTTTTGTCCTTTAAAAAAACTGAACAAAATAAAAATATTATAAAGTGATAAATGATTAGATTGAATTATTGTTTAAATTTATTAAAAAATTCAACAAACATTGTAAACAGAGGCTAATTAAAGTAAGAACAGTATTCATGGGCGTGAAAATTGAAGAACAGGAACATGTATTTGTCCGAGAAGATATAATCTTATAATATTGGAGAAGAACACAAATTAAATGAGGTTCAGTTAGAATTCAGAAATAAAAAAAATAAAAAAAATGATGTATTGTTGAGGCCCCAGTAAGTGGAAACATGTTGTGATAATGTTGAGTTGGGGCCATCAAGTTTCAATCATGGAATGAATTGGGAACACGTACCATCCACAAATCCCTCAAATCAAATATTTTTTTCTTTACCTAAAAAAACATAACAACTAAGATGAGAATTATTATTATTTTATGAGTATTATTAGTATTTTATCTTACTCGCATATGTTATGATAACATCTAAATTTTATGTTTAAGTACGGTATGAAATTTTTATTTATCACGATTTAAAAAAATATTCGATGATTAAATTTTTTTTATATAAACTATTTTTAATGAACGTACGAAAATATTATGTTACAGTGAATTGGATTTGAAAGAATTATATATATATATATATATATATATATATATATATATATATATATATATATATAGTAAAAAAAATTTTATTAGTAAAGTTATAGTTTGTAAATAAGAAAAAAATTTAAAAAGTTAAAAATGAAAAATATGTAGGTTATATTCATGAGTTTTTTTTTTTTTTTTTCAACTGACAACTAACCTTTTTGGTGCATGGTGGGGGACTCACACCAAAAAGGATAGGTCGGTGTTTAATAATTTAAATCTATTTTTGACATTTACTTATAAATATTAATATATTTTAGTTTTCATATTAGATTTTTTATTTATTTTTAGCTTTTCAATAAATTTAAAATGGTGTGATGTGTTTGAAAAAAAAAATTAGATCATCATTTTTAATGACTGATATTAAATTACAGAATGAGGTTATTATAAGGTATATAAAAGAAATTGTTAAGATAATTTTAGAGAATAAAATTTTAAAAGATATTTTACATGAATTACAATTTACACTTTATATCATGACTAATAAGAGTGTAATTTCAAATTTTATATAAATTTAAACTATTTTTTATAGAAACAAAAAATAAAATATACTAATTTTACGTGGACTAAATATGTTTCAATATACATATTAACTTATTAAAAAAAGTACATGTTTATAATCTATAAAATCAAGATTTATTAATAGATTAATAAATTAAGTTCGTTCAATATATATATATATATATATATATATATATATATATATAACTTTAATTACAATTTAATGGTTTTTTTTAATAAGAAATAAATAAACATTTAGTCAAAATTATACCATAATTAAATTTATAGTAAGTAAATAGTTTAAACACATGCATTACATGTTAACTTTTTAATAAGTATTCAGATATAAGGTTACTTTTAGGTCTAGATAATTAATTTGAAGCAATACAAATATCAAATTAGATAAAAAAATTAAAAATAATAATTAATTTGAAAGAGATAATATGTTTAAAAAAACTGTGAAATGAACATTATGACTAAAGAAAAACTACTAATTATTTGTAGAAGCAATTTGTAAAACATACTCGTTTCATATAAATAATAATAACAACTTATAATAATATATAAAAGAATTTATTTGTGATTTTTTAATCAATTTAATATTTTATTTTATCTTATTTTTTATTTTTTCTTATAATTATATATATATATATATATATATATGTTTAATATAATTAATAAAGTAATTAATAACATTTTATGATTTCTCTCTTCTTTCAAAATATTTTTAATTATACCATTTATGTTATTTTATATTTTTATCTTAAATATACCATCTTAAAATATAAATAAAAGTATTTTTTATAAAAATATAATGAAAAGTACACACGTACAAAACAAATGAAGATTTATGTTTTATTATAAATAATAATAATAATAATAATTTGTCATAACTATAATAAATTAAAATTCTTATTTTGACTAAAAGTATTTTTATGAAACATTAATTTTAGAAGTTATGATCAGTAATAGTTTTATCTTTATCTTCATATCATATATTTACATAAATAACTTTTTTTATTAGTTTTTATTCCTTTAAAATATATTTAATAATTAACTTTTTTTTCTCAACTGTTTATCATTTTCAATTTTTTTTTTCAAATTATGTTTTAATATTTTTGAAAATAACCTTCCCTATAATTAAATTTTTTTATATCATAATATAAACCATTTTGTTTATCGTAAATATAAATATAATCTATATCTTAATTTATATATTTATTTTAATATTTATATATTCTTCAGAGATTTAAATCCAATCTAATGGTTGGATTTGATTGAAATATGTTATGCTTAATGATTAGATTAAGAAAGATCAATCTAATTTAATTCATGTGGACTTTAATTATCATGATTAGATGCACTTCAATTTTTTTCTCTCTTATGTTTTTAATCATAATGTATTTTATTTAAAGCAAATGATGCATTTGTCATGCAACAGATTAATAGAATGCTTTGTAATAATGTTATATTATTACGTTTGTAATTTTGTGAATTAATATAATTAAATAATATATATTTTAAAAATATTTAAATTTTATTTTATTTTATTTATTTGTTTACTTATATTTATTTACTCTTTGTAGATAGTTTTTATTATTTTTTCATAATTTATTTTTATTTGTTCTTTTTTTTTCTTTTTCATTTTTTCTTATTTATTATTCTAATAGATTAAAATTTAATAAAAATACATCAAAATATTTTTTAAAAATTAATATTAAAATTAAAAATATCAATTAATTATTTAATATTATAATAACAGTAAATAATTTTATTTACAATAATAAATATTTATTTAAAATTATTTTATTATAATAAATCAATTATTTATCTAATTAAAGTCTATTTTATATTTAATAATTATTTTATTATAAAATCATAATATTAAGGATTAATAATTTAAATTTTCACATTAAGAGAGAAATTAATTTTTCATCATTTAGAAAATTAATTTGACAGCATTCCAGAACGTAATTTATATTATTATTATTATTATATAATTCTTTCAATTATTTTTCCTATTTAAATGTCTTATGTTAATAAAATATTTGAAACTTTTTCTTGGATTTTTTGAGTTTTTTTGCTTAATTTAGATTAATGAAACTGAGAGATATTTTGATAAGCATGAAAAAATATACAATGTGATATTATGGTTTGTAGAGGAAAAATATTTAATATATTTATTTATTTTTTAAAATTTGATATTTGGTTAATGAGTTTTTATCAAAAAATTTAAAATATTAAAATCAGTTAAACATATAAATATTTTGAACAAAATGGAATTTGATGAATTGATCAAAGTAAAAAGAATAAAAATCAATTATGATAAAAAAATTTAAAATAGAAAATTTATTTTATACTAAATAATTGAAAGTACTAAGATTTCGTTGGTTTGAAGTAAAGATGTGAGGTGAAACTTGATTGACTTAAGAAAAGGAGCACAAAGAAGAGAATTTTTTTTTTGCTTGTTGGGTAGATTTCATATGTTTTATTTTCTGCACATATGTAAGGAGAAAAAAAATAGAAAGCTTTATCTTTCAAAATTACCTTTCTCTTTAAAATAAATATATAGATAATTTTATAATTATACACTTACTTAATTTTAACTTGTTTACTTTTTTTTTTTTTAAATGACAACTTTTAATGGCACTCTCTGGTTAGATAAATAAATAGATTTTTTTTACTTTGTTTTCACATTTTCTCTCTTTCTAATCAAACATAAAATAATAATTTAATGGAGTATAACACAAGTGAGAGAACCAGTAATTTGCACAGGTTGTTACATTTAACTCATTATTTGTACACCAAAAACAAAAGTGTTGCCAGTTCTATATGTTCAGTCATTCCATTTTTTTTATTAATAAATAATTAACAATTATAAAAACTTATCTTTAGTTCTTCAAATATTATGAAATGTGTATTAAATATAACATTGAAAAAATATAAATAAAGTAAGATAGTCTTGCATTACTGAGATAGCATACATGAAAATAAAGATAAGTGCCGAGTAAATTTTAACTATGATTCTAAATTGCAGTTGAGATTTTTATCATTGTTGAAAGATGAAAAAAAAAAAATCTTTGCAATGTGACTGTAATTATGATTATGAACTGCAATTTAAAACCGTAGTATAAACTTACCAGAACTTGATGTCAACTTGTGCAACTGAATACACGCAACACACTAACTTTCTAGGTCAAGAAGAAAATCACTCCAACTTTCACCTTCTGTCAGAAAGTCACAAGCAATCGAACTAAGTTCTTCGTCCCAGCTCAATCGCTCCAACTTTCCCCCCAGGGAAGCATGTGCTGTTGTTAATATTTTCTTCCTTCTCATCTAACAAAGTTTCCCACCAATTCTCAGACCCTGACGATGAAACTGCTTCACCAACACCAACTTTGAAACTACTCATGGATTTTCCTTGCAGCAAAGACGATGCTTTTGGCAAAACCCGAGGCACAGGCTTTATCACTTGGTGGGTTTTCCTAGTTGTTTCGGATTCTTTTACATTTTCCTTGTTGTGAGAGAGTACTTTGCGTCGTAGGTTGGTGTTCCAGAAATTCTTCACATCGTTTGAAGTTCTTCCAGGAAGTCTTCCTGCAATCAGAGACCACCTACATCCACACACAGTTTTTGTTTCATGATTAGTATTTACTTGCTATTTAAAAGTTAATTTATTAATAAAATATCATATTCTGATAACTTTGTCATGATTAATCGTCGTGCATGACATAACTAAGTTGACTGTGTTTGATTAAGCATATTCCAGACAATGATAATAAAAAAGTATTTGTTTCTTTTCCTGTCTCTAATAAATAACTATTCTACAGCATTTGCACACTCACTTGCTTTCTGACTAAATATTTTAGGCATCTCAAACATACACACTACATAGTTTATTTACAAGAGATATCACTTCTACAATCACTATATACAAACCTGTTTCCCAAAAGTTTATGCAATCTGATCATCAAATCAACCTCATCTTCACTAAAATCACCTCGCTTGATATTTGGTTTCAAATAGTTCAACCATCTCAATCTACAGCTCTTCCTGCATCTATTCAACCCTGGGTAGCAACGGAACAAAAAATATATAATATATTATTTGTTATATTATTATTTTATGGACAATGAAGATAACGAAAGGATAATATAAAGAAATAGTTGAAAGAAACCTGCTCTTTGAGGAACAAGGTGCCATTTTCCTTCCCCATAAAGATGCACGCAATCTCTGAGAAGTTTATCTTCAAGTTGACTCCATGCACCTTTCCTAACTCCTGATGATCCTTCCATGAGACTAAGTGCTTCCACTGTAGGGCACAAGTATTAAGTATTACACACCTTACTTTCACAAGTATACATATATAAATCTCTATTTCTTCTTTAAGTAACATCAGCATGTATATATACTGAGACGCACGTGTGACGTAAATTTATGGACTAAACAGACACACGTAGCCTACCGTCAAAACCACCCATCCATAACGCTCTCTTCTGAAAAAAAAAAAAAACTTGCATATCCCAGACGTATCTACTGCGCAGAGATACAACAACAAAAGAGATCTGTAAGTAATTGACATCATTAATAAAATGATGTGATAATTAAAAGTCAAGAAGAAAAATAACTCCCTCACTCAGTGATTATAGTTTTGAGAATTTAAAAAAAAATGTATATTAATTAAAAGTAATAATAATAATAACCGTACCTTTTGAAACAATTTTATTAAATATAAGTTCATTGTCTTATAAATACTTTGTTTTTATTAAGGCAAAGAGTAATTATTTTGAAAATAAATTAGATAAAAAGGTAAAATTTCAAATATACTAAACACATTATCTAAAATTCTTTTTCGTCCCTCAGATTTAAACATATTTTATTAGGTAATAATGGAGACCGAAAAATTAAGTGGATAAGAACTTAGTACGTGAATTTTATAATAAAAAATGATTTGGGTTAGATAGAACGTACTTGTTAGAATCGTACTGGAGTGATTGTTAGAATCGTACTGGAGTGATTGTTAGAATCATAATGGAGTGATGGTTACCGTATAATGCATATCCTAAAACCAGTACAAGCACCTATATATAGAATTTCGTAGAATAAAAAAAAATTGTCATAATTAAAAATAATATAAAAAAATAAAATTTATTATAGAAAAATAATTATACTAATACTCCACTTTGACGGTAGAAGTAAGAAAAGACTCAATTTGAATATAAAATTATAAAAAATTATATGATGAAGATGTTTAATAAAAAGATGTGCAAGCTAATTAGAAGATGAAATAGGAAAAAGATGAATTAGAACTTGTTAAATTTTCTCACGAACCACATGTCAATTGATCTTAACGTGTTTAATGCGTTAATGAAATATATAATTATGAGCTGAATAAATGACAGACTGATTGTCAAAATTGACTACAGGAGGACCTAATAAAACATAAATATCACGAAAAAAATAATATAATTATTGAATCTCATAAGTCAGGCTGACTAATGCTCGATATTCTGCTTCAGAGGATGAATGAAAGATAATAGATTGCTTCTTGAATTTTCAAGAAATCAAAGAAGAACCAAGGAAAACACAAAATCCGGTGATCGAGCGGCGAATGTTCAAACAACAAGTTCAGTCTGAATCAGCAAAAACAGAAAGATGAATATTAACAGAGTCAGATAAAAATAACCCTTGGGTAGGTGAACCTTTTAAGTATATAAGAACCTGAATGACAGCTTTATAATGAACATCAAGAGGTTGAACCATGAATTGACTAAGCTGCTGGACAGAAAAGACAATGTCAGGACATGGTTCCAAACTTGCTACCACTCCTTCTGATCCCTCTATTGAACTTCAGGCTAATATTGAACAACCGTATTCTGATACTGCTGCTTATCGCAGATTAGTTGATAAACTGTTATATCTCACACTTACACGTCCTGGTGAAAAATCATATTTGAAATAACACGTATCCACTGTGTGATTTCTGTATTCACAATAAGTTCATAATTTATTACTATGAGAACTTCTTACTCCATTATTTTTGCCACGACCCCTTGGGAATGACCTCTGTCTCATCTTCTATAGAAATGATTCGAGTTAGAAACATCATTATTCTTGGACTGCAAATTCGGAGAAGTAGTAACAACTAGGGCTTGTGAATCAAGAATACTTTCAGAAGAACCAAGAACAAAATCTAATTGACGTTATTGTTGGATAACCATGTTAAAAACTTTGGTAATATCTGGAAGATGATCGATTAACATAATCTGATATCATACGGAGGCACATTGATCATTAAGGCCTTTTAAAAATCGAATGACATAATCTTGCTACTTATATTGTCAGACATAATTAAGAGCATCACAAGAACATTTGATAGTGCATGTGCAATTAATAAAGAGACAAAAACTATTGATTTTCTCCCAAAAAGTACGTAACTTTGTGTAAAAAATTCAATTATAGATAGAATACATTAATGTAGTTTATATATCTTCCTGTAAATCTGCAATACGAAAATTATCTCTTTGATGAAAGCGATGATACAAATCTTACCAAACATCGGAAGCATGTTCGATCGAGATAATTTAAGAATAATTTTATACACTGATAGTTGGATCTAAGAAATAACCATTGTGATGCAACGATCCCAAGATTCGTGAAGAGGATTGGTTGATGGTGATTTGGAGAGAGTGTCATCGATGAATTTTAGTTTATTCTTGAAACGCAAGTTTGATAGCACGAAGCCAACAATGTAGAGATAAGATGGAGAGTAAGTTTTTCATTGAAAGAAAGAAGATATTCAAGAGATTAGTATGAAAGTCAGTGTATGATTCGAAAGTCATAAGAATGGAGAAAAAAATTAAGAAATAATATCTAATATCATTTACTATTCATATACCTACAATGAAATTAATATATTTTTATTAAAATTTTCTCATTATAATATATATCCTCGAAAAATTTAAAAAACTGTCATAATTAAAAATAATATATCAGAGAAAAAATATGATTATTTATAAAAAAAGTTATGTTAATAGGTTGAACTGGAAATCGGTCAAACCTTCTATGAAGTGAAAAAATTGGAAAAATCTATGGGTTAAAAGGTTCAACCTATGGACTAAAAAAAAAAAAGGTGTTTCAGTTTAGATTTTTTTTATAGAATTTGTAGTTACTGATGAAATTTAGGTGTATATGTTGAAGTTATGGTATACTTATATATGACTTATTAAATTATAATTTTATAAGGTTAAGTGTATAATTGTGTTTTTATTGATACTTTCCATACATCGGAATATTGTATCATTATATTAAAAATAATTAAAATAATAATATTTTATTAAAATTGATTTGATCCTAATTAAATTTTGATTGAATTTGTAAACTTTAAATTCATGTTTGATGACTGATTCGTTATATCGATAACATTAGTTATATCCCTTATATGTGTAAGTTTTTCATCAATCAATACTAGTAACAAGGACATAAAAAACGTGTTTAAATTTTAGAAGAACCTAAAAACTAAATGTTTCAAAGTTTAAAAAGAAAAAAAGAACAGTACAATTTTGTTAAGGTATTCAATATTTTAGGAAATTTATAGGGATGCAAATGTATTTGACCCAAATAAAAATATTATCTTTTCATTAAAAAATAGAACATAATTTAATTTTTAAAATATAAAACTTAAACATATTATTCAAGTGTATAACCATGAGTCTTACATGTATCCAAAGCGGATACGATATGGATATAAATAGAGAGAGAGAAAAAAGGTAAGAAATGAATAAATGAATAAAATGTATACCTTTGATTCTAAAATAATAATAATAATAATAAATATTAATTTATATTAATACCTTTGATATTTTTATAATGTCACAAAATTTTTCCGCCATGACAAAGACAAAATTGATTAAGATTGACAGCTATATTGGGTTCTACACCGTCAGAAAAATAAAGTATTTTTTAGGGTAACATTTGATTATGCAAAGTGCTCATGATCAAATTCAAAGACAATTTCCGAGGCATTCCACTCATATCACCGAAAGTAAAGTGGTAATTTTATTTTGCTGTTGATAATTTTTTTGTTAATTTGATGCAGTCACCAAAAATCTCCGAAACCCATAGACAAACCTAAAAATATGTTGGCTAATTTTATGATTAATTGACCAATACTCGAACACCATTAGATATATATATAGTAGACTTTTTCAATTTGCTTGAACGTAAAAAGAGACATGTTCTTCGAAACCAACTATGTTTTCTTCTTCTGGGTTTCTTCATATCTGACATTTTATCATGTGTAAAACTTACTATATCCAAAACATATATTATAGTTTATGCTAAATAAAAAGGAATAATGAATATTTAATACTAATTTCTGTACAATAAAATATACGTTTTTTGAGCAAAAATTCAGTGATAAATATAAAGTTTGTCACTATTTTTACATTACTTATAACTTTTAATAATAATCACGAAATTAAAAATATTTCGTTTTTAATATAATAATGATTGATATATATATATATATATATATATATATATATATATATATATATACCTTACAAATAATTTGTTACTGATATAAAATGTTATATAATAAAACTATTTTTCTTATGCTTATGATACAATCAATATAAAATTTATTGATGTTTATAAAACTATATATTAAGTCATAACCTCCTTCTCATGAGCCAACATCATTTCCACTTTACCATCAAACAATTATATATTGATTAAATTAAAACTTATTATTATAATTTTATTAATAATGATAAAAATATACACATGACAGATAATTTGTCACTAATATAAAATGTTATCTAATAGATTGAAGATGGTTAATAATAAATAGAATGATTTCCAAATTAATGTAAAGTAACTTTAATTATTAATTTGAATTTTATTTTTTATGAATTTTACATTATGATATTAAATATATATATTTAATATAAATTTAATCGAAATAAACAGGATATTAAATAAAATATATATACTTCATAGGTATAAGTTTGAGTAAAATTTACATGTGTTTATGTGAATTTTTATGATTTATGTATATACAAGTTTATCATTTATGGCTACTTATTTATTTGAAGATAGAATTCCATAGCAAAATGAACTACCAAAATAGAGAAGGAATAAAGCTTCAAGATTTGTATACTTATATGAATATATATCTCCACGAAAAGAGAGCAAAATGAGGAAGTTACTACAAGAAAAAACGGTATTAGCGACCGAAAAAATCGGTCGCTAATGGCTAAAAATCGGTCGCTATTCTGTTAGCGACCGAAATTAGCGATCGAAATGGTTGGTCGCAAAAGGGCAAGTTGTTAATTCGTTAGCGATCGATTTCAGATCGGTCGCTAAATAGCGACCGATCAGGTGGTCGCTAAATAATTTGGTCACTTATTCTGAGGAGACCAAAATAGCGACCGAAAATAATATAATAAATCGGTCGCTAAATCGGTCGCTAAATCAG